AACACTGAGATGAGCCACACATTGGAGCATCTCATTAAAACAAACCGTATTCGGGAGTTTTAATCACATTAAATAGAAGGTTCTTTTCTTCATATGTGTTTTCTGGTAGTTTTCATTTGTGGAGTACGTAACAATATGATTGTACACTTTTTTGTTAGATGTTGAAATTAGAGACATTGGACATGACTTTCGTTTAAAACGATTCATTTTGGAATACACAGTGTACTGTTGGTCGCTCCGTCTTCTCACTGGTCTACACTGTCTACTTGCTTCACTCATAAGCATGTTACATACTTTTGAATTTTCGCAGGAACCTATCATCCTCATCCTGAGACAATTCTACAGTCGGTACGCAGCTTCCACCGGTAGACACGACTCCAGCAGCGAACACTTCTGTGGATTATATTAATAATTTGTAGTCGTGGACTTGTATATCTAACTAACCTTTTAATTGATATAACTCATTACTGAATTTATGATGGTGTACTGCTACACTATCATCTCATTAAATTGGATTTTTATCCACATACTTGTTATGTTATTAAGCTCTCTGACAGTCCCCTACATATCCCAATTCATAGCAGATCACCACCAGTTTTCCCACTTATAGCCAAAAGTACATACAAATTAATTTTTAAGCACTCACTATAAATGTAACGTAAGTTTACTGTTTGCAAGACTACAAAAACAGCCAATGGATTACTACGAATAACGGAACTGTTTACAACGTTCCTTTTCCACACACCGTTAAAACACATAGTCATTTAACAAATGAAATGTTTAAATTTAGAACAGTTCCTACATCATATAAAGTGGTTAGGAATCTCGCTGACCACCCACGTGGTCCAAGGTTCAATCCCCTGCCGACGCACGCCTGATATCAATGGTCGGCCTGCTAATTTTGGGCTACCGATATCCATGCTAAAAATTCCATACGTGTACCGAAGATACAGTGTAGCATCAAGCTGTAATCAAAAATATAAAAAGTACAAAAATAAATCATGAACAGAATGTCTGGGCCTAATGCCTGCTGGAGGAAATATCAGTCAAGCTGTTGATTGAGGAAGCTGTCTTATAGTCTGAAATATAATACTAAGAATCCCAAAGTGTAATGTAATATTACCGAAACAGTAGAAGCAAATCAGTGCTTGCAATTAAAGCTCCTGAATACTGAAAAAACGGGTAAGCGTGACATGTTTTGTAAAAACTAAACCGACTAGGCAGTAACCACTGCCTTGTTTGATAGCAGCATATGTATATGGTATGATATATGGGATTTTCATTGCATTCGGTGGCTCAGTCTAAAGATATTAGAGGTGTCTTCACTTCAAATTGAGGCATTAATACCGATCGCTTTTATATCTGGTGAAATGCTGGCTCACAGATTCGCCTAGCATTTAGGACTTTCATCAACTACTGAAATAATAGACCATCGAGATAACACCCTTAAAAAAAGTGGTATCAAAAAGGTGCGTTTAAATGTGTAGCCAGTTGAAGTGTGGCAGTCATCGTCATTTGCTGCTTAGTGCTAAATAATGCATGTTATAAGGATCATTCATATTAGTGCAATTAAATCACTTGTTCTGTTATGGAACGATCCGCTGTGATTGTACCAATATCAACTAGGCATTTCTAATTATACATGCCCCCTAAATTTCACAGGTATACTTTGGTTTTACTTGCACATTATCAAAATCAAGAAGTTCAAATGCATTGAGAAACATGAAGAACTACTAGAACCTCTGTCCCACCACTGGAGTGAGATTAAGTACATGTAAATGAGATTCAACATTTATTGATGCCTAACTGTCCAAACACTTAGGTATCAGACAGTCAGAAATCAACTCATTGCTATGCATGGTCAAAAAATATAGCGAAATTGGGCCAGCAGTAGCTGAGGAAACTGTCGAGAGACACGAGTCTCCAGGCAGGATCTCTAAAGGAACCTCAGTAAAAAACGACGACTTGGGGGTCGGAGGGTGATATGGGGGAGATTTTGTTGGGAGGCGATAAGAGCCAAATGGCAATCATGATGACAGCTACAGAGAATAGAGGAAAATATTTTTGTTGTTAAAGCCCTGTGTTCAACTCTGAAACCTAAAGGAATAATAATAACTGTGTATGGTCGAGTGATGCATCAGACAATTTTGTAAGCGAGAGTCACTTTGCCTAGAAGCCTTGAAAACTCATAAGAATAAAGGGAGCAACTGCAGTGAATGCAACATACATATTTTTATATCATCTTGTAGCGGTAAATAATTCCCCAAAATTATTGACCACAGCAATCACTCACCATTGAATGCTGACCACCACTGTTTAAGTCGACTTGTTTAGCTGAAGGCTTCCGGTCAAGCATCCCCGCCATTTGGTACCTCGTCGTGTCACGTGCACGATCACTAGCTAGCTAAGCGTTCGTCTAACGGCTGGTTCTGGTTCGTAAATACATCTATTGGTTTGGACGATCAATTGTTGGCTTTTGCTTTGTCTTTGGTACGCGAGAATAAATTAATTAGAAGTTGTTGAACGAGATATCACGTCAAACCTTTAATACCCCCCCACCTTTAAACTGGTGAGCCCCGACCGCGAACTTCATCTACGACAATTACTCAGATAAATCCGCCCACCTTTAAACTGGTGAGCCCCAACCGCGAACTTTATCCACGAAAAATCCGCAGATAACCCCGGTGAGTTCGTTCCATTTTGTATTTGTTCTTGTACCATATATTATTCGACATAATTTTCGTCATGAGTGATCTTAGTCCCAAGGTCATCCGTATCCGCTCAACTCCTAAAACCATTCAGCTCGTACCATACTGGCCAGATAATGCTGAAACGTGGTTTCTGCTAGCTGAAGCAGATTTTTGTGAGCATGGGATAACTGATCAACGTTCACAGTTACTTGCAGTTATTCACGCCCTACCGCGGGAATTCAGCAAGTACGTAACATCACAGATGTTGAGTCCCGAGGTAAGTAACTCGTACGAGTTGCTGAAAGCATCCCTCCTCAGGAGAAACGCTCTCACGGACAGACAACGTCTAGATGAATTATTTCGCAACATCGAGTTAGGAGATCAGTCAGCTGTGAGCATGCTGACAAGAATGAAACAAGTCGTCGGCCAAAGTCAGTTCGACGAAGGACTGTTTAGAGAACTCTTCTTAACCAAGTTGCCACAATCTCTTACCGGGTAGAGTGGCTTAGCAAAGACTGTGATGCATAATCTGAAGACGGCAGAATATCGTAGCTAAGAGCCTGTCAGCCAACAAACATTAGCTGTCAATGGCCAGCTGTTACTACGCTGGACCTCACGCTGTCCCTCGAAGACTTTCAGAAACACATTGTATTAACCAATACGAAAAACAGAACACTGATTGGCGACTCAAGAACTCTTTATTCTTACGCCAACATGTAACCGGCAATAAGGTTATTACACACAAGGTTTAAGAACAGATGTTATGACAATAAATCACGGTAATACTTCTGATAGTTTTTTATCTTCCTCTGAACAGCGAACTATGAGACGATGACTGCCGAATTGATGACACCCGCGAAAAATATGGAGGAATTGGGTTTGAGCAAACAACCATGAATTGATCGTTCAATCTTCAACTACATTGACAGGGCCTGCGTGGGATTACAGAATATTATGAGGTGTGCATAAGCCCTTTGTTAGTTCTGACAAAGATATATTTCGCATGTGATATACGACCTACATCAGACCACTGGGAGGATGATGTTTGTAGATGAGGATGACTCGATATTATCTTCTAACAAAAGATGTACATATATGATCAGTGAACGAACGCAGAAAAACAACTAAACTGTCCAGAATGCGAAATACTCTTGCAAATTGGTGTTATTAGTCTGGGAAGCGTGCCTAAACAACGTGATCTCTTCACCGCGTACTGCAGCGTCGCAAGCGTGTGAATACTAGATCTCAACAGCCCAGTAATGAACCAAAGTGAAGATGCAAACTGGCGATATTTCGGAATTATGCACCACTCACTGCCTCATTTCGAAAATAGGATCCACGGAACCGATCTTCAAATTGCGAAAGCGACACACTAGATAAGGTCATAACAGTGCGAGTTACGTTGGTTAAGTAACTCTCATTCCTCTGATAAAGACAGAGATTAGATTTATTCCATCCTTAACAACCGTACCTTGCAGAGCGGGACGTTTTGGGGAAGTCCAAGGACTAATGTCCTGTATCTTCGTCAGTGATTTCAGTGCGTATTTATCACGCGGAATAAGTTCTTCCATGACCGGACGCTTGAAAATATACCATAAACATGCTGAGAAAACTACGTGGAATCGCCTATAGTTGGAACTTCGTTTCAGCTGTCATACTGGGATACAGTATAATTCCTAACATAAGCATTTCATTTCGGCACTTTTTCTACTCGTTATAAATAATACCCACACTGCACAGCAATAAAAGACATTTGGTATGCATCTAAAGTGCACCATAGGCTGCATTTATGCAGCACGTCGGTTGAAATTTCGCTTGGTAAATTTCTTTGTGAAAATTTTTTCATAAAATCGTGTTATTTATTCTCTGGGTTGATAAAAACTCTAATTTTCCTAGATGTCATGTTGGTATACGAGTTATGGAATCTAACTGCGGCACACTCCTAGAATATCGGATGAATGTAAGCAACGCGTGAAATAATTACAGCGAAATGAATGAACTGACCTGGTGCAGCAACTTTCGAAACAAACAGAATGATTAACTTTAACAGCAACAGAAACCAAAAGGATGCAAAACGTAGAATAAACGAGTAATGTACATCAAGATGAATTGCGAATAACTGCAGGATAAACGTCAGAACCAGTTTGTGAACGAACAGTTAGCAATAAAGCAATCTAGCATGGCTGGCTAATATGGAAGAGAATGGCCTTAGACATCTTATCCCCCCAGTGACTTTGAACATGCGGAACAAATAGTCTAAAAATAGTAACTCGCAAGTGGACATCGTACAGATGGCCTTGCGCGTGTTTTGACTCACTTAATTCTGCGAAGGTTATGTTTCGTTACGTCTTGTTGATTTTTGGAACTTTGGTCCGTGGCTGTACTTTTCTTGACATAGTCGTTCACACTTTAGTCTAAATCTCTTCTTTTAACATAGACTTTTACAAGCAACAGTGAAGAAAAGACACCAAAGTCAAATAACATTTAATCAACCAATAAAACGGCTAGGCATTATACATGGATGTTGTTTTTAATCTTCGTTGCAAGTTTCACCTAGATGTTCTAATATCAACAATAAAATGACTAATCGCCCTAGGAACTGCTATTCATACACTAGAGTGGAAAGGTTATTCACAACTATCATCATTAGGCTAGATTCATCATAAAGTCAATCATACCTCCGAATTAGTACATCATATAAGTCGAACTCATACAAATTCTATTGAAGGATTCTAAAAAACTTATTATAATAGTAAATGGTTCTCGATATGATGCGATATACGGCCACTTGTATTTTTGGTATCGAAATCGGTTTGTGTGTCAACAGGCTCCTATGAGATACTGGGACCAGTTGTTATCGCATCTTGGTGATATATACACTGCATAATTCATATTTATTACACATATCTTATAATTACACTTCTTAAAATTAATGCCACTTTTTACCTAGAAGAATATAAATAGGCTGATTCAAGGTCATTTGACTTTGACCTCTATTCTTTACTGTTACCCTTTTGTGATTCACTGTTTCATTTCCTACGCATTTGTACCCGCGTGTATATATGGTGTGTATACATGCTCACTTCAGTACTCATGAATCTTCCCTAAGAACCCATAAATTTTGCCCCATTATTTTTAATTTGAGTACCTGAATAAGATATTTCGGAGAAATATAGGGATTCTCACAATTCCCTAAATTCTTATACTACGTTTCCCGTGATTGGGGGCAGAGTTTGTTATCTGGTTACCGCGCTGCATTTAAAGACAGTCATCTTGGTTTATTTATTTGTTTATAGCTAGATTCCACACTATAGTTTTAGTATTAGTATGGAATTTTCAGCATGCGATATTAGTAGCCCAAATTTTCTGGCCAACCATTGATATTAGGTGTGCGTAAGCAGGGGATCGAACCCCCGACCATGTGTATAGTCGGCGAGAGTCCTAACCGCTGTGCTACCGACGCTTAGTAAGAAAACAACGCTAAGCCTCATTGTAGAAAGGATAATGCGAACCATTTAACACACTGTTGACTTAAAGGAAGAAGTCTCAGTTGATTCTTATTTCAAACGTTAATTTTATTATTTTTTCACCTAAATTGTACGATACACGATTAGGCTTCTAAGGCGACTAAAGACTAGTGCGATTAAAGATTGAATTCTTTCAACCAGCTTTTTCTTCAGGTCCACTGAGGACAAAGACTGAAGTAAGTGCAACAATTGTCTGCAGTGGACCATAAATCTTTCAAGTAGTGTGCCACAAAGTTCCTGCAGTTCGCCTAAAGTCATTACTCGCTGGGCTCCTCAAAAACCCCATAACGTCAAATGACCTGGTGCTAAGAGACTTAGCAAAAAAAACTGTATCTTTGTAGACATGTATGGGCGATTCTGTGGGACCTTCGATGTAACGTGAGTTTTTTGGCTGCAATTATGTGCAGTAACTGGTTTTCATCAGCCTACAGCGAACTGAGATTGACTACCTCACGAACAATTGTTGTTTGCAAATAACGTTAGGAGAGCACGTGCATCATGCATTATTTATGTACGAAAAGCAATGATTAGCTTTTGCTGTCAAATCTTTTGAAAAATTCAAAAATGGGTATACCTGGAACCTAAAGATCCATTTTCAGGAGAACTCTGTCTGGGAATGCAAGCAAAGCAGAATACAAGAAACATGATAAAAATTTTCTACAACTATATACATGCAGAATACAAGGCGAAAGGCATTTTTACAAGTTATCGTGGGTTTTAATTTCTTGTAGACCTTTAATTCAAATCATATCCTTCTGCTATATAACCTAAATAGACTGTAAAATTATACAGCTTAGAGTCACGCCATACTCAAGGCTCGATGGTATGATTGTAAGCCATTTTAAATAGTTTCTGTATACGTACTGGATAACTCGTGCTAAATCGTTCGGTAGGACTATCGATATGCACTGCGTTATTAATATCATGTTTTAACCAGCCATACTAGGTGAAATTTAATATTTCCATACTGTGCGTGAATATGTTCAGGCTATATTACCAGTATTGCAAATGATCCCCTAAGGATAGAGGCCACCTGTGTAGTTGTGCCATGCGATGAAACTGTATGTCGTCCCGGTTTACCAAACGACCAAAAGAAGTGTTCTCTTCTAAAAACCTATGTAAAATTAAGCAGTCAGTCGGTATGTAATTCTGTGAATAAACTGCTTGATATTACTGTAGGTCATATGTCTCTTACAAACTGTCCATGCACACCTTGATACGGTGAGACTGCAAATGACTAATTAAATGACTCTTCTCCTTAGATAAAAGCTATGTGGACAATAAAAAACTTATACTAGTTCTCGTAACATTCCCTGACCCACAAAAGAACGAATGGAGTTGTTTAAAACAAGCAATATACGACGTTAAAGTCACACTTATGTCTCATGGTTGCCGTGATCTTTGGCAATTAAAACCGAAAAGGTTGTACGAGATGCGCCTTTTGAACATCTGGTTAAGTGCTAATTCGTTTTTTTTGTTGACTCTGTGTACCAGTATGCGTGTTTCCAACCTTAAGAAAGTGACACTGAAGTAAAGCATCATGCAATTAGATAACGGTTAGTGTAGATTATCGATTGTTAAGTAACTTTCGTATAATAATCATGGCTCAGGCAGTTGAATTTTGTATTCACACACTACCTTCCGAAGTTTTAATAGTGTTTTGTCATTTTTCAAGGTTCAAATATGCTTTTACGACTGCATAAATTTAGACTGACGTATATGTGCGTTGAATTTGATTTTCCAGATCTAATGAGTGCATATGGATCTATCATTGAGGGAATCGGAAATGAAATACTTTTTGTCTTCAGTTGTATGGGAACAGTTGTATTTCTTGTTGTGGCATGGATGTCCACCAGAGTCAACTGGGAACTAGTACCAATTAGAATAACCTTATCACGTCAACAAAATGAGAACCAAGGCACTGAAGCAGAGGCTACTAATGTCACAGAACCGAATACTGCAGATGCAGCAAACACCATATATGCAGAAACTTCATCTTCGAGCTCTGAAGATGAAGTCGATATGGAATCTAGTGTTCGCAAACGTTCACACGGTAAGTAACATCTATATTGCGGTTATTGTGTAATAGCATATTACTGAATGATTTTGGAATATTCAACTTAGCTTTCTGACCCAACAGAACAAGGAAATAATGAATTTGTCGACTGCTGGGTGGTAATTAAGTCAGTGACAGTGAAACCTGCTAGTTCAGTAGACCAAGCAGCAATATATATATATATATATATATATATATATATATATATATATATATTCCTGGCTAACACCGACTTCCGGTGCAGCCTCCGTCGTAGTGCTACCTGATGTCCTCCCTTTAATACTCTAGCTTGGATTCGAATAGACCATGTCGCTACCAGCTACCGCTGACATGTGCACATACAGGAGCGCTCTTTTGTATTCTGATCATGCTTTTGTGTGCTTTAGATGTGAAACTCCAAGTGCTTAAACACTATAAGGCACCTCGTCCAGACAGTCTAGTCACACCTCTTTTCGAGTATGGTGGTTAGGTTCTAGTCGCGGAACTCAGTCAATTGTTCAGGGAATTATAAGGCAATAAAAGTGTTTCGTTACTGCGGAATAAAACTATTATTGTGCCTTTCTTTAAAAAAAGTTTACATAACGCATGTGAAAACCATCAATGTATTGTTCTATTATTGTCTAAAATATCGGCTACTATCTTACTTCCTAGGTTGTGTAAAATACGTAAGAAATTGTCTTCTGGAGAGCCGGCTGGGTTTCGTTCAAGTTGAGTCTGCATTGATCATATGTTCACCTTTTGTCAGTTGCAAGAACACCATTCATACTACGAGTCGACAATTGTTGAGCCTCTTGATATTAGGGATGCCGTCAAATACTGCTCTCTAAAATTATTTGTTAGAGGGAGATGTTCCTCAGGCGTTTGCTAACATTCTAAAAGCTCTATACAGAAAAACCCCAGGTGGAATGAGGGCATGAAACCAACTACCAAGCCGATATTGTGATTAGGTAGGGCTACCCAATCTCACCATTTCTCTTCAACGTTGCCATCGGTGAACCTCTGAAGACAGAGCTGAAGGGTGTGCTTGGTTGTGTAGATCTGCCGCCTAAACATTGACTTTTGACCTCAGATATGTAGACAATATCATATTACTGTCCGATGATATACAGGTTGCCCAAATTTCACTTAATCAGTTGGCGGTCAGCATCTGTATGGTATGGGTTTTCCAAACAAAAAGTACTGTATTAAATGGCTAAAGGCAATAGGCAGGAAACCTTAAACCTAGGTTTCATGCCAGTTGGCACTCGTCAGCAAAGCGTATGTGCCTGTCGCAAGATCGGAATGAGCCGGCACCCTCAATTACCTTCGCAGCTGAAGTAGTGGATGACTTCGTATATCCAGGTAGTTGTGTGAGCGTTGGTGGAAACGTGAAGGTTGAGATCTCTAACTGTATGATGAAAGCCAGGGTGGCATACACCAATGCAGACCACCTCCAGTGTCATCTTGACGTTAGCTTGGTCATCAAAGGTACAGTTTAGAATGCTTAGATACACACAGTCCTGCTTGTACATCTGTGAAACGTGGTCTCCCTGACTTGAGGATTTTTGTGTTCGATCATGACTGCCTCCATAAAATAGACAGAATTGCTAGTAAAACCATAATATCGATATATCTCCACTCCCTGCATAGAATCTGGGAAGTAATTTGAGTCAGTGGCTCAAGACGTTATCAGATATGGCTGAGAATCATAATCGGTGGCGAACAAGCTGCAGTTTCGTCCTTTCCTCTGTTTCTACAGGCACCATGAATTGATGAGTGCCGCTTAAATACCCTTGACTGGTATGCTTATCTGTTTTTGTGGTCTTATTCATCAATTATTGCTCTTCTTTTCCATACACCGTTTGATTTTTTGTTTAGTGCATCTCTTGGCGGCTCATTCTTTACCAAGTATGTACTTAAATAAACAATAGTCCTCAGTCAGTACTGTTTCCACATGACCTCTTAACCATTTAGTTATTGATTTTAGATGACTGTGTCCAACACTGTCGTGTCAAAAAATAGAACATCAACTGTTTTAAATATTCAGTGACTGTTAATTTTGAAAACTCAGTTAACAGTATGGCAAAAAATCTGTGTTGGAAGTTCATTTTATTGAGTTACAGTAAAACAATAAGTTGTAGAAACAATTAAGTCAGGATTCACCATGTCTTTCTGTGCCTATTTGCATTGTTATGATAAGATTTATTTTGCTGTATATGGGGGTAGATATAAAATGACAGGGCCTCTCATGTTGTACATTTAAAAACGCCTTTTCCAACAATGTAGAGTGAATAAACCTGCGGAACCGAACTAAATTAACACATGGATATAAACTTGTAAGATTGGACTTGTAGTCTGTAGTCCACAGACTCTTTTTTTTTACCATCGTCTCAACACTTTCTGAGTTTCGATTTGAAAATATCTGGAATTTTGTGAGCTCTTGTTTTACATGCTTCATATTACTTTGAAAACGGAATGATTTATTATTTCCAATATACGTTGTCTTGATAACAGACAGCATGTTCTCTATCAAAATTCTCCAATCCTCATGTATGTTTGACTCATATGCCACCACTCCTATGATGTGAAGTTGGTATCTAGCACGAACCTATTAACTAGGAATTTTACTAGTTCTATCTCTTCTATACCCCTACTACTTTGTCCCCTCTAACTTGTCAAAACGAGCTGTGTTTCCCTTTGCTACTGGCAGCCGTATCTGTTTTGTTCCTACTTAGGTAGGCTGTAACAGAATATTTTGTTTGCAAATGCTTTACATACAGAACCATCAGTTACCTCTGTGTGCTATTTGGAACGTGGCAACTCGAACTGCTGCACTTCGGTGCCAAGTTCTATGTTGAATCCAGACAGACCATCAGTTACCGTGAGGAGTAGTGATTTTTTGAGTAGAATGGATATGCTACTACTAAAGACAAATATGGAAGAATATGGCACCAGTAAGTAAAAAATCGATAACCGTAAAATTGTAAGGGAGATCTAAAGTACTTGTTCGAAGACTAAATACGATGTAGTGATCTGTGATCATAATACTGCAGATATATTCACACCTCCCAAAACACTGCATATTCTTATAGTCTTGATTGGTCAATTTTGTTGCTATGTCTTCAGTTTGCCTGTTCGTCGTGACTTGTAGACTAAAGGTATCCGGCATGTTATTCATATGTATATTTGGATGATTATCTTATAATCATAGATCGGTTTAAATCTCTCTAAAATACTGGATACCGTCAACCACCTTCTGCTTTTGATAATTCCATGTTTAGATTAAAACCGATGAACACTTTTATGAAGTCATGTCACTATATTTTTGTGTTTACTTCGAACAGTGTAAAAACGTAAAACTTCTGTATGGCTGAATATGTTCTCGGTGTATATGAAAACCAGATGCTATCTTTAATCTTATCTTCATAGTGATCCTGTAGACCGAAAATGCTTCAAACACAGTTGTGGTTTTACCGTTGATTTCTTAAAATGGGTATTGGTACTGTCCATGTGCGTCCGTGGTTGAATAGTAGAATGCATTCCAACTACTTAAGTAGTCTAGGTTCAATTCCTTGATGGCCCACTCGTAAACCTCTTTAAGCCAATAGTAAGCCCGGTAAATAGGGAGGGTTGGGCGTGAAGCTAGCGACCCCGCCCAGTAAAAAAACAGCACACTGCTACTGAAGCTTCAGAGCTCAAGCTTGAAGCCCTATGTCCCATCGGGAATGTAGAAGAATGAAAATAGGTACTACATATGTGACTTATTGGTCATTCACAATAGACATTCACTTTCATAAGCTATATCATCAAAGTAATGAACCTCATTAAACGATTGTTTCATGAAAGTCTGAATTCTTGTTAATCATGATTTACTACCAAAACATTTCGTTTTCTGCGTTAAAAGCACTATATAATTCTAAAAATTGATTTCTGTTAGATTTATGACTTTTATTTTTTCGTTCACCTTTAACATTGAATCCCATTTCCCTATTATTCCTTCTCATACACTATTCAATTTTTAATCGTAAAATCTTACAAATAAATAATTTTGTACGTTTAAAATAAAAAAAAATTGTGGACATACTTTTACTACAGTTTTATGCCTCTTTTCTCTCATAAAACATGTCTCTAACTCAGCTGTTCGAAACAACTCTTCGTCAGATGATGAATCCAAAGACAACAAAACAGAAGAAGAGCCAAAGACCACACCTCGTTCCAAAGGCCACTTTGTAGTAAAGTTACAATACCTTAATGATGAGACGCGATTTGTTCATGTATCTCCAACAATGTCTGTTAGTCGTTTCAGAAAGTAAGTTTTTATTTTATTTTCATAACAGTGTGATATTTACTGCATTAGAACATGAATCGTGAAATGAGGCTTTTTACACTATTGTGTTACTTATCGTAAAGATTTCACTGTATTTGTAATTAATAGTGCTCTCTGAGCTGGTTGGTTTAGTTGCGGAGCTTTCGTCGTCTTTCTGGACGACATCTTCAGCGCAGTATTTAGGATAAAGTGAGATGATTTACATTTCTTCATGAGTGATATAATTGCGTCTCCCGGTAACCATCTTTAGATATGTATTGACCGTTTTCTATTGACTTGGATTTTAAACTTTCTGGTCACCTTATTTAATTTTTATTAGTTGGTATATTTCGTCTATATTAATGTGTTTGTTAATTGCATTTTCGTTTGAGTACCAGGCTTCTAGGAATTCCCTGACTGCAATTTTGGTGTTTCCTGTGTCTAGGATTTTGACATTATCCCAATCAAATTGATGTCCATAATTGTCTGTATGCATTGATACTAAAGAATTTATATCATGTCTTTTCACGACTCATTTGTGTTCTTGGATTCTTACTCGAAGGGGACGCCCACTTTGGTCGATGTAATGCTTGTTACAGTTCATACAATTTATTTTGTAAATGGTGTTAATTTTATCCCCTTTTTCTGTTGGATCTTTTGGTTTGCATAAGATCGAATTAAGCGATTCGACTGGTTTGTGTGCTACATCTATATCAAACGGTTTCATTATTCTAGCTGTTGTTTCAGAGATATTTCTCATGTATGGTAGGATGAATTTTCGGGTGTTTTTTGATGATGGTTCCTTGTTGGTGGTGTGATTCGATTTTAAACACTTCTTGATGAAATTTTGTGGATAGCCATTTTTCTTGAAGACCGTAGGTAAGTATTTTTCTTCCATTCTTTTCAACTCTGGAGTGCTACAATGTGTTTGAACTCCTCTAAACAATGTCTGCACACAGTTTTTTTTGTGAGTAATCGGATTATTGCTAGTATAGTTGGTGTTGGTTCTCCTGATTAAGACATCTAAAAGTGGGATTTTGTCATCTAATTCTTCTTCTCTTGTGAATTTGATGTCTTCAAATATGTTGTTTATTAATTTATGGGTATATTCTAAATCATTTCTCTTAATTGTTACAAATATATCATCAACGTAACGTACCCAGATTTTCGGTTTAATTACAGGTAGAGCTATTAATTCTAATCTTTGCATAACGGCTTCAGCTATTAATCCTGATATGGGTGATCCCATTGGTGTTCCTTTTATTTGTTCATATATTTGAGTATTGAATTGGAAGTATCTTGTAAGGCATAATTTTATGAGTTCTATACAAGTTGAACATTGCGTTTTTGTTTTCATCACTATAGAGTAAGTGTTGCATAGTTTCTGTTGCTGGTTTTGGACGAATTGAAGGATATAATGCTGTGACATCAAAGGACACCATTATTTCATTGTTTTCTACCTGGATGTTTTTGATTTTCTCTAAAAATTGGATTGATAAATTGATAGGATGGTCGTATAATTCTGTTAGGTAATTTAATTTCCTGGAAACTTCTTTAGATAGATTATATGTCGGTGTTCCTGGAAGCGAAAACACCAACAAGGAACCATCATCAAAAAACACCCGAAAATTCATCCTACCATACATGAGAAATATCTCTGAAACAACAGCTAGAATAATGAAACCGTTTGATATAGATGTAGCACACAAACCAGTCGAATCGCTTAATTCGATCTTATGCAAACCAAAAGATCCAACAGAAAAAGGGGATAAAATTAACACCATTTACAAAATAAATTGTATGAACTGTAACAAGCATTACATCGACCAAAGTGGGCGTCCCCTTCGAGTAAGAATCCAAGAACACAAATGAGTCGTGAAAAGACATGATATAAATTCTTTAGTATCAATGCATACAGACAATTATGGACATCAATTTGATTGGGATAATGTCAAAATCCTAGACACAGGAAACACCAAAATTGCAGTCAGGGAATTCCTAGAAGCCTGGTACTCAAACGAAAATGCAATTAACAAACACATTAATATAGACGAAATATACCAACTAATAAAAATTAAATAAGGGGTGACCAGAAAGTTTAAAATCCAAGTCAATAGAAAACGGTCAATACATATCTAAAGATGGTTACCGGGAGACGCAATTATATCACTCATGAAGAAATGTAAATCATCTCACTTTATCCTAAATACTGCGCTGAAGATGTCGTCCAGAAAGACGACGAAAGCTCCGCAACTAAACCAACCAGCTCAGAGAGCACTATTAATTGCAAATCATCAACCTGAGTTACAAATCTTTTCTATGATTTCACTGTATATCTGATTAGTGGACACTAATTAGCATTATATGCTTGAAAGCCTTGATGGTTAACACCCGGTAGTGGGTTTGGACACAAAATACCTACTAAAGTTTTCTGTCAAATCAAAAATAAATGAATACATTCGATGAAGCGGAAATGTGAAATCAAATCACAACTAGTGTCTGATAAAAGTGAACTAGAATTCAGTTTTATATATTTGTAGAGTACTTTCTTTCACAAATGAGGCGGTAATCATCCTGAATAGTATCTATTAAGTGTTTAGAACATTGTTTTTCACACCTTTACTTCATAAACAAATCTACCTATGCAGGTGTAATATTGTTTTCTGTTTCTATTTATGGATATCCCAGTTTATAAGAAGTCAAACAAGCCTTCTTGTGATAATCATAGCGGATAAGCCTGATTAATACAGTAGCTGAAGTTCTGGCTTCAATAATCATGTTTAGACTAAGTGGTGCTCAAGAAATATGAATCCGGGATAACCAGACATGTCTTATCCCATGAAGAGGGTGTATTGATCATATCTTCACCCTTCGACAGATTCTGGAACAGAGGTATGCTTACGAGCGTCCAATACTTGCCACGTTTATTGATCTTAAGGTGGTATTTTACTTCGTCAATCCAGAATTGTTATTGTAATTTTTGTTCATGAAAAGATTGCTGGGGGGCGGGTAATCACACCAATCAAAACATTATACTCGAACTCACGTAGTCGTGTAGGAGCTTACAGTAAGTCATCATCTAAAGTGATGACAACCAGTGGTGTCCGTCAGGGATGCCCATCTCCTACGTTTTTGTTTGATTACTAGTGCAATTTACCTTTACTGACTTTAGCGACTTAGAAATTGACTTGTTATCGAGGAACAGACGTAGAGTACAAGGATGATTTTGTTCTCCTAAGTGAAGACGCCGACAAAACATAGAGTCTTTTGAACACTGAGTAGGAATCTCTGAATGTTTGGCATGTGATTCGCTCTTGTCAAATGCAAGATTTTGCCGCAGGACTGCACTACACCGACTCCTAGCTGAAAGACACATTGAGGTGGTAGGACGTGTTGAATACTTCATTTACTTGGGGAATTGTATCAGTCCTAATTGACTGAGTGCTGGCTAAGTCTAAGTACAGGTTCAAATGGCTCGTGGCATTTACCAACCTGCATCATCTGTGGCGTAGATGTGGTATTTGGTTATCAATCAAAGGACGCATATACTGCTGAGTCGTTCATTCTTTTCTCCTCCACGGGTGGCTGTAAGACACGACCATTAAAACTGGAAGACTTGATAAGGCCAGCAGTCTTTGACCACAGGTATTTACGTTCTTTCTCCCGTGCCAAGTGGTGTAATATGGTGAGTAATATCGGGATTAGGCATAGAATGCTAGGTGAGGAAGGAAAAGTAATCTATAAGGTTGCGAGAGTGAATTGATTGAGATGACCGGGACATATGTAGAGCATGCCAAGTCGCCACCTTCTTCGATGAGCAATGTTAGCTGACAAAAGGTTGGGTTGGAAAAGATTAGTGGTCAAACCAAAAGCTTCAGTCCATGAAGTCTTTGACAGTTGGCCTGAACCACACAGAGAGGTGTAGACTTCCTGGTTGGGGTCATTGAAATTCTAAGAACTAATGGCTGGAGCCTATTGGTGATCTGGCTTAAAATCGTTCTCAGTAGCACAGATGCATCCACTCTTTGTAATCTCCAGTATCAACTAGACCCTTATGTTTTTCGATGTTACTACTCTTTCCCTTGCACATCTCTGGTTACTGCAGTTCTTTTGAATCTGTTTCTTTCATTTCTCTACTTTTGTGTAGTATATGGATTGTGGTAACTTGAAATGCTACATTTTTATACAAAGTTCTATGTTGAAACTCAGCCAGTCTATTCCCTTTACTGTCGTTCTATATAGTCAGATCTCAATTACCCAGTACTAGGTTATACGCCACACTTATTATGTGAGGGTTAATGATACTACTCAATTACATAGGCTGAAGCAGATAGGACGGGTCTCGAACTCGTGATCCATTGACTGAAAGCCGAGTCCTACACAAACTTCATTAATCATCCTATTTTATGGTCGTAATATGGTTATAACCTGTATACTCAGTGGTTGGCGAAAACTCTTAAGTAGAGATTATTATAGGGATCTAATACAAATATATAAATGACTTTAACCTTGAGTATTGGATTTAAGGTTTAGAATGAATTGGTGTATTTCACTGTATTCTGTTAGTGAGTAACGCTGGTCCATATAGCACACGAAACCCACAAATTTATGCATGAACTTGTGCATTTTTGTTAGTTGTTTTCTAGCTTTTAATTTCAGTCAATAGACACAATTTTTATGTAGAAACTTATGCATGTTTTGGGGGTTCGAATACTACAAATTTATTAGTCTGTCAGAGAAATGTTTCATTTCTTTTACAACCTTTTGTTATTCCAATTTTGAAGTTGGTAGAAATCAGAAATAATGAACCATTGTATTTCGACTGACCCAATAGTGGGGAAGTATTCTGTCGACCCAGCTTCTCAGACAGGCTTGAGCTTGATTTCTAGCAAACTTGTAAGCAAATCATTACTGAGAAGTCGCAGGTCAAAGCGAAATAGTTATCCTCCATCTAGTCTCTGTGCGTGACGAAATCTGTTTCGAAATCTTCAAATTAGTCGGCT